TCGGCCATCATGAGACGACCTCTCATGTCTCTGCGCAGAGTGCCGGCAGCTAACAACTGCTCCATCTTGGCGCAATCGCCCATCATATGGCCGGACTCGCCACATCCAAAGCACGTTCGCGGGTACGTGGTCATTGGTTTCGGGAACGGAGGCCGGCTGGCTGTTGGATAGGTTGCCGAGAACGGCGGAGGGCGTGCATGAAAATACGGGTATGCCGGTGGTGCTTGCGCGAGAGGGCGGCGCATTTCTTCTTCGTGAGTGAACGCCGTCATTACTTGACGACTTTGAGCTAATGCCGGTGCAACTAGTATCTTTCCGAGGGAAGGATCGATCCTTGTCACCTCTCGGAAGTAGTATGCATAGCGCGGGTCATTTATCTTCAAGCCGGCCATCTGGTGAACAATCGCTTCGACTTCATCCATTTGTCGCGCCTGATGTTCTTCTTCCTCTAGCTCATACAGGGTTCGACGAGCATCTTCGCGCGCAACAGGCGACCGGGATCGGATCCTTGGCGACGTCTTGCGGCCTCTCTTGGGTTCTTCCGACTTCGTTCGAGGTTCTCGGCGCTCCCTTCTCTTTCGGTCATGCCTCGGGCGCCATCTAATGTATTCGTCTTCGTCCGTGATATCGGAATTGCTCCAGTCTCCTTGGTCGGTTTCTCTCCTAGGATCCGACGGTGCGTCTTCGTCGTCTGACGTTACGAGGTTGACATGCCGATTAGGATCGAAGGTGTCTCGATCAAAGATGAATCGAGCGGCATCCTTTGCCATGTCGATAGGGTAAGGTTCGGTACGGCTGATACTTGGTTTGAGGAGGAGAATGCGGGCCTCCAGTTCCTTGTAAGTTTCGCGCGGCAGTCCTGCCCAAAAATACGAGTCGTGTTCGCGTTCACTGATCTTTCCTTTGTCTAGGAGCCATCCAGCGATGCGTCCGAACTCCCGAAGATAGTTGCGGAAGCTGTAGATGTTGCGAATATGTCCGCGCCGGGATCGTTTGAGTTCGTGGGCTAGGTCCTGAATCTCGAAACGTCTATCTGCTCTGTCGGCACTAAACTGTTCTTCTATTTCGGCGCGAAGGTTCGGCCAATTGCGCGCGTGAAAGGCGCGCATGCCTTCAATGACTTCGGCGACCTGTCGAGGGCAGTACCTCAATAGGTAAGTGCACTTCGTGGTATTGTCCAGATTGTTGACAGTGCTGAGTTGCTCGTAGGCATCGAGGAAGGGGATGACTTCGTACCATCTCCCTTTGAAGAATGGTGCTTGCTTGGTGCCCGGAATAGGCATATCAATCGGCGTTCGGTTTGCCATAATTGTCGGTGAGTCGCGAATTAGTATCGAGTTCGATAACGATAACGAGGAGACTGTGGATAGCGTCGGGGAATATAGAACGTCCGAGTCCGATGGATGAATAGCAGGAGCACGAGGAAATACAAGAGTAGACGCGGCAGATTGGAAGTCGATTTGGCGAGGAGATGGGATATCCGAGAAGTCCGAGTCGAAGGATTCTGCAGGTGGTGATGGTGACTGCGATGTATTTGGAGTAGGTAACTTGGGTGATGGAGGATTAGAGGGTAGGGCGTAGTCTGATAAGGACAGAACAGAGATTGTTGGAGATGAAATGGACGCCACAGTGTGATAGTCAATCAATAACACAAGGATCCACCCCTCGCGGTGGGCTCCACTATTGTCGTGCTATAAATGTGTAAAGACACACAATAGACTCAGGTTTCCGGGGTCTGTGAGAGACTCGGGAGATCGCCTGATTTGTTCGGGTGAGGGATGTGTTGTGTAGAATGGCTGTGCACCAGAGGCGAAGAGGATGTGGAGAGGATGACCTAAATAGGAAGGTCAAAGACTAAATTAGGATGGGCTCCACTAGTGAGCTCCAGAGAATGTAAGGGAAGATAAAGCAGACGACGATACTGCAACTATTGCAGTGGATAGACGAATATAGTGCAACTTAGCACTATAGGGGAGGGCAGATTCGAGGGGAAAAGAGTACTTGCTCATTACTACTACAAAGACAGTACTTATACCTACTGGGTCGCGGCTATGTTACTCTGA